ATGTATTTATTTATTAATTTATTCATTCATTTATTATGTATATGAGTACACAGTAGCTGTCTTCAAAGAGGGCATCGGATCCCATTACTGTTAGTTGTGAGCCACCATGTGGTTGTTGTAGGGATTTGAACTCAGGACCTCTGGGTCCAGCTCTTACAGTCAGTGCTCTTAACCTCTGAGCCATCTCTCCAATCCTTTTTCTTTTTTAAAAAATTTTACTTTTTATTGGTTCTTTGTGTATTTCACATGATGCAGCCCAATCCCACTCATCTCCCGGTCCCTTTATACCCTCTCTCTGCCCTTGCAACCTCCCCCACAAAAAGAAAAAATCTTGTTGTGGAAGCTGTGGTGTTTTACAGTGTGTCCCACAGTGTACCCTTTTGTCCAAAATTCTTTGCTTGGGCTTGCCTTTTGCCATCTGGATCTCCTTAGTGTTACCTGCCTTGTCTCTGACCGGTGCCTGTCTTTCCTATTATCTTGGTTGTTTCAGAACTGTGTGGGGTGGGCGTTACTACTGGGGTTAGAACTGGGGCACAAGATCTGCTCAGTGCTCTGGCCCAGACTGGAAGGAACCAGTGCTCCGGGCCAGAAGTGAATTCCTGGGTCCCAGTTACTCCCTGTTTAGGGCGAGTGTTGCTGTCTCCTTACCTAAGACACTGCCTGGGTTAGAGCTCCTGGGAGGCCCGCTTCCTCTGGTATTTGTGAGACTGGGTGCAGAGCAGCTGCTCAGGATCTGCTCAGTGCTCGGGCCCAGACCGGAAGGCAATTCTTTGCTTGCAAATGCTCATTGCAATAAGTCACTGGTCTGGTTTGAGGCTTCTGCTGTACTATTAATACCGCATCGTCACCAAGACTTCTTTTGTATATTTTGTTGTTGCCTTGTGCTATGGAGATCCTGCATCTTTGGATCTGTGGCCAGCCTCTCATTCTCCAGGACCTCAAGGATGTTGTAGATGTCAAAATGGGCCAACTCAAAGTCCTGCATCTGGGCCTGGGAGTTTGCTGAGCTGGTCAGCCCGCCAGCTTTCACTACCAGAGCAAGCTTGCCAGTATTTCCTTGGCTGTCTCATCCAGTGCCACAGCTAGCAAGAGGCAGAACCAGCTCTCTTGTTTGCCTCAGGTAGTAATAAGGGAATAGAGGAGGGCGTCTCTTCCTCCCTTGTCCTCACCATCACTCAGCAGATGAATGGCAGGGCCAACTCTCCCATGCTTTATCTTAATTCAGACATGAACTACACGGACAGAAAGTGGCACCTTTAAAGGCATGGACCACCAGACTTGGGATTTCCATGTTTTGATCAATGTAATGTTCTTATTCTTCTTAACTTTTCCTCAAGGCAATTTCCAATGAGATTTAAATTTTCCTGGCTGACCTGGTCTGTGTCCTCACATTCTTCTCAGACATTTTCCTGGGAATCTCATAAGATTAAACCTTTGTTTACAATAAAGACAACTCTCTTGCAGCTCTTGAGTCTAGGGTTTTAACATACCAGCTATAATAACATCTAATGATGGTCAGGAAATCTACAATTTCCCAAGACCATTTTTTCATTTCCTCCCAAGACCAAGGCTTCCCAGCAGACCTTTGACATGCAACCTCAGAAGCCATCAACACCAGTGTCTCTAGGGACACTGAACCCCAACTCTTTCTTGAGAAGTCCCCACACACTCTTGAACCCTGACTATCCTTTGAAAACCCTCCCTGGTATCTCTCGCTCTTTTTTCTGAGCACCTTTCCTGTTATCCCCTATTTTGAAATTTGCTGAAAAGTCTTCTACTGAACTCCAGCTCTGCTCCATCCTAGCTCATCCCAAACTTCTGTGTTGAGGCAAAACCAAGACTTGTGCTTTTTCTGGATGGAAATCTCAGAAAAGCACTGCTAGGCACTGCAGGAGGCAGCATGGAAGAGTGTTTTTGCTCCTGCAAGTGCTGGCATTGTGGGTTTGCCCAGAATCTATATATGGCATTGTCCAGCATCTATGTGAAGCACTCTCCAGCATCTAAAAGAAGCGTTGTTGGTGAGTTTCCTCAATGGCTGTTCAGCTGCTCTGCTTTTTGCTTGCATGTCTTTGTTTTCTGCCCAGAGAGTCATATAATGTTTAATGAGTGACACTAACACCAGAGAGAGAAATCACCTTAGGGCTATCTGGACTCTACTCTTAAGCCAAACGAAACAGTATACAAATTGTCCCAAAGGGTATCCTTATAAGGACTCTTAGATATTCCAAGATACTCTTTCACCTCCAAAAGAGCTACTTGAGACCCCTTTGAAGTAAACTGAGTTGAGGTGACACCCAGAACACCCAATTTTATAAAATAGCACATTCTGGACCCCAAACACAATTTTTTCTCTCAAAAGAATTCCTTTAGCTGCTGGCAAAAGCCTGGAGCAGTAGCATCATCCCCACAGCCCACTGACAGGAGTATGTAGTGGAAAGCTGCAGGTACAGAATGGAACCTGCTCCTACATAGAGGATAACTACTGTAGGAGGCAGAGATGAAGGGGAAGGACTACTACCAGTGACATCATCGTGAGCCTCAGACACTGGACATTCAGGTGGATACTGGATCTGTAGGGACAAGATTTGGTATTTGCTATTCTGTGTTTCAGTCTTGCTCTGATTTGGTCTTTCCTTGCTGTGTCTCTATTCCTCCCCTTGAAACTAGAATATTTACTTTGTCCTATTGTGTACTGGCATTATGTAGCTTGTATTTTCGTTTTACAGTGGTACACACTTAAGAGGCTGTCATGAGGCAGAGTGCAGTTGGTAGACTGCTTGCCTAGGATGCATGAAGCCCTGGGTTCAATCCCTAGCCCACAGAAACTTAGCATGATGGACACACCTGTAATCCCAGCATCAGAAGTTCAAAGTCATCCTTGACGGCATGACAAGTAGAAGGGCTTTGCAGTAGATAGGAGAGAAGAAAGAGAGTGCCCTAGACAGACCATGTGGGATTTGTGCACTGTAAATCCAATGAAAAGCCTGTTGTTGCCAGGAAGTCACAAATCCTAGGGCAAAAACTGCTGTTATGCTAAATAGACAAAATAAACCCATGGAATTATCTGCTACATAACTATGTTCACATCTAGAGATTAGTGCTGTGTTAGTTTTGGTCAAAGACGCTTCTGTTTGAAGTGGTCAGTGGTGAATGCAGAGATTCATAACTGATCAAAGAACTGGGAATGGAATTGTTGGATTCTTAGCCATAAGCAGGATACCTGTATCACTCCCTTCAAGGCTCAGGGAACATCACCCCACAGAAGAGATGGAAAGAATGTAGGAGATGGAGGAGCGGGGGTAGGGAGTGGTATAAAACAATGACTTCCAGACATAACAACCATTGCCCTCTTGAACTCACAACAGCTGTAATTACATTGACAGTATCTGGACAAGATTGAGCCTGTCAACAGTCTGTCATGAAACAGGGAGGGGCAAGTGAGGTCCCTTCCCCCCATACCAGAGGATTTATACACGCTTAATAGTTGGTGGGAAAGAGAGAGAGATTTTCTTCAATGGTACAGTCATTAGTAAAGCACCACACTCCTGTAAACAAACCTCACCCAAATTCATAGAGTCAATCCTAATGAAAAACACTAGGACAAACACACACATACACACACACACACACACACATTCACAACACACTCATACATATACACACATATATACACTCAAACTCACACATACACACTCATACACATGCACACTCACACTCATTCAGCACACTTGCACACTCACACCATTAAAGTAGAAAGGAAGCTAGAGCAGAAGAGGAAGATTAGTAAGGGTGAGATTGAGGCTAGAGAGGTAATGGGAGGAGGGTTAAATATAATTGAAAAACATATATATATATATATATATATATATATATATATATGTATATATATGTATATATGTGAACGTTTCATATTGAATCCCACTATTAATTTAATTAGTATTCTTTAGTAAAAGATATAAAAAACTAAAACCAAACAAACAGATAAGAAAAGGCTATGGCAAATCTTGAAATTTCGATGAAAGCATCCTTCATCATGAGATAGCCCCCAGCCCATTGGGTCAGGGGCAGGATATTGTGGTTTGAACATGCAACATCTTCCATAGATTTGCCAATGGTATAGGTCAGGGATGGAAAGGGAAGTTGGAGACATTGTTCCTTGCTCCTGAGACCCACAGCATCCTGAGATTCTTTTTCCCCTTTGGGAGTTCATCTAGGGTAAAACCTGATCATCGGTTTCTGACACAGGAGACTTGAACATGAACCAGTGTGAAGCAGAGCTGAAGTTTACTAAAAGATGATTTAAAATAGATTTAAGAACATCAGTTCCAAGACAGAGATACTGAGGGAAAGAATCAGGTACTTCAGAGAAGATGGGTGTGGGCTTCTCAAAGAGAGCCATACTCCACTGTTTTTACAATAGTAATATGCAGGATTTGGGTAGATTATGAAGTTATTATCTTACATGGTTGAGAAGGAATTTCAGTGAAATCATGGGGTAGCTCCTGAGGACCATCTCATAGGCTTACAGTTGCTGAAGTAAAAGTGTAGATGACATGGATACAGGATCTAGGGAACTTCATTCTCCACAAACCTAATACTCTCATTTATGAGGTCCCCAGAAAATGCCAGGAGTTGAGGGGAACGTGTGTAATACACTTAGGCCTTATGCCTGCTTTATTGGTATTTTTGCATTCTTGTTACAGAAATATATCTGTAAATAGGAAACACTGTCTCCGAAGAAGTTTAAAATGAAAGCCTTATTACTGTTCTCATCTATGTCTGCTCTGTGGTGTCACTATGAGACATTTAGAAGAGGAGGCGGGCCAGTAACACAGAACAAGTGGAAGCTAAGGAAGGAGAATGAAAACATATGTAAATATTGTGACAGCAAAATTATCTCCCTCAATATGTCATTGAAATAACAACTGGATTCAATAAGTCTTAATTATTTCTTCTAATCTAAAATCTCCCCAAGCTTATAATCTAGAAAGACAGTAGAAGCATGTCAATCATTTTATTGTTAGAAACACAGCTATTGAGAAATTACAAACTGTCTTAAAACAGTCAACAGATGATAAAGCAAGGAGCTAGCAGCCAAACCATCCCCAAATATTTGTATAGAAAGAATACAACTTTGCTTTAAACACTGCAAAAGGTGGTTTTGAGAATTTAAAATGCTCGGGAAACTGTGTAAGAAAAATAAGGTAAGTACATTTTGGTCACAGAGTGTTTATGCAAATACAACTAAACGGATGATAATATAGAGAATTGAACAATAAATTATTCATCATTTCAAAGTACTTGCTGCATGGTAGGTTGATCTACTTAAGCTTCCTCCTAACACAAAATGAATGATCTGGAGGCAGAAGGCAGATTGAGTTTCAAGGGCTACATTGTGATCATCCCATGGCTATGTGCAGTGGATCCTACAAATACCAGAACTATCCCGAGTGTTGGAACTTATTAAACACATGGAAAAATGCTCTAAGCACTTTAGAGTTTACTTGGATTCTCAACATCTTTCAAAGGAGACTATAAGGTTTTTAAAGGTTCTACTAAAGTCATTTAAGACATATTGGTTGCCAACCAAATCTTGGCATGAATTCAGAAATAAATGTAACTGAAAACATTACTCAAGTGTAATTTTTGAAAATGCATGATTAAAATTCTGTCAGCACATTACATTGAGTGAAATAGGACATTGCACATGGAGGCAAACAGCACGCAAAAGACATTTCGAGAGTTAGATGTCAAAATCAGCTGAGTGTGTTATTTGGTTTATAGTCAACAATGAAGCATTTGTGACACATTTGATTCTGTCCCTGTGGACTCCTTCTTCAGAAAGCTATACGTTGTGTTTTGCTTTATTTTCAAAACACATATGAATATTATTATGGTACTATTTACTTCTTCTTTTGATTAAAAGCGTGTTGATTTAAAATTCAGCCTGGTTTATGAATCACAAATTTAGCTATTTATTTGTGAAAGGATTACATCTCTCTCCTATACCTGTGGAATAACACTAGTAGTTCAGATTACAGCATGGAAAGAGAGAAGCAAAATCCTGCCCAAAGGCCATCCATGAACAACTGCCTTTCAGTGATGTGAGATGAGAAACAGCCTTTCAGTGATGCAGTGATGTGTTTTTAAAAAACAGCACTGTAAGATGCAGGACTAAACAGGGCCCATTGTACAGTCATGAAAGAAATAGTTTGATCCGAAGTTAACTGTCCCAGGAAGAAGGAAGACAAGTTTGTTATTTAAAGTTTTATTTTCCCAGGTTTTATATAACTGATGAACGTTGATCACATTTATTACAGATCGCCATATTACCACTTGTTAGGCAATGAAAAATATTTGGAATTCATCAGGCAACTAAGAAAATATACAGTAAAGATACAGCACATCAAGGCAACAAGTACACTTTCCTTTGGATTAATAAATGAACAAAGGAAGGAAGGAAAACTATATTAATCATTTCTATCTGTTCAAACTTCCAAACCTAGGTATCTTCAAGTATATTTCAACAAATGTCTTTTGAGTTTATCTCTAAAAACAAACATAACACTGCCCCCTCAACCAAACCGTATCCTCAGTGCATTACCCTACATTTTAGAACACAATAAAATAAAGACTCCTTTGAGGGACTTTAATTATGCCTCTGCAGTTTGGCTTGTTACATGTTAGCAAAACATTACATGTTCTATACAGCTAAAATTAGACATTTTGGGGTCTTTAATATTCACCGTATCTGCTTTTATATAGAACAAAGCAGCTCTTGCTGGAGTAATCAATCACTCTGAAGTCTTTGATAATGCTGGAAGCTGGACAATGATGCTGTGATCCTGTGACACTCTGGGAAATGAATGGTCAGGGGATGAACACATCTTTAAAAGTTGTATATAATTCACAACTCAGGGCTAGGATTTTCCCCACTCTTATTTTGCCATATGTATACCATTTTACTTTAGTGAACTTATTTTAACATTGAGTTTAAAAGCAAGAAAAGATTCCTCTACCCTGCAATAGTAAATGTACCTGTCTCTTAGAAAGCTTTGATTCTTCTGAGAGATTTTAAACCAGGAAACACCAATTGGCAAACATACAGAAACAACACATCATAAATAGTACATTACTAAATTTCAAAGCTAGAAAAATATATCATACTATAACTTGTAAACTGTCTTTAAGTCAGAATGCTTAGAAGCTAGAGCTCATTGACAAATCAAATGAGAAACTTCAAAGTTGTATGCAGGACACATTTTAGATAAGGAATGGGATTGTCTAGTAACCACATCACTCTTTCTGAAGTAACATCAATTCTGGTAAAGAGTCCTGGTTAATCACTTCCAAATGGCAGCAGAGGGTCATTAAAAGGATGACACTAATCTCAACAATATCTAATCATATGGTTTTCCTTTACTGAGCAATTATTTTCTAACATTTCCCACTTAAGACAGTTTTCATGTTCTAAAAACAGTTCCCCTTCCTCGGATCCCCTTGAAAAATTACCCCGAAGCTTAGCCACACTGCCAGCTTCCTCCCAACAGCTCAGCTTAGGTACGTTATCTTAACTATGCACTTATGCACTGAAGAGCTGCACAGGAACGAGTATGACTTACTGCCTAGACTGAAGATATAATACTGTCCTGTCTGTACTAGGGAGGAAAGTTAACACTTGTGAGGGCAGCAGTCATGTCATGTGTCATTTGCAACTTTCCCTTCAACTACAGTGGAAAGGCAAAAATGAGCATGGTGCCCTTCATTTACCCAGTAAGTAATATTCTTCAAAGTCACACCTATGAAACACAATGGGAGCCAGGAACGTCCCTGACTCTACAGGAGACTTAACTAAAGCCACATGTTGAGATTCAGGCGTAGTTTGTGCTAAACGAGTCTCCCTATATTGTTACTGTCTATGGGCTTTCCTCCTAGAACAGATTTCTTAGTTTGAAAATGAATTCATCTAATGAAGTTTAGGTGTGGTCATGGTAAGAATAACTGGTATCTTATGTACATGACTATGTAATTAGAATTTTATTAATCCTAGCCTGAATCTGTGGAAGGGTTTTTAATTTGTATTACCTGTGAAACAGACAAGGCATGTGTTAAAGAAATGTCAGATTTTCCTCACCTATGTGAGCTCAAGCTACACATTGAAACCTTTTTGGTTAATTTCTGAACAGCAAGAAGAACTCTTCCGATTGCCATTTAGAGCCAGAGGTTTTATGTAGCCACATTTTATTTATTTAACATGCTGGTGACACCCTATAGGGCACACATTAAAAACCAAAAACCCAAAACAACCCTGTAGACCACAGAGCCACAAATAAGATTGTACCTCAAGTTCATTATTTCATTTAGTGTTAATAGAAGAAAGAAGTTTACCAGTGCTAGGGAGTACTCTTCCCCATGATGCTGTTTCCATGCGTTACTGCCACTGTGGCTCTTCCTACTCCACAGGTCTCCTATAGCCTGCTCTGCATCATAAATTGCACTGTTAGATTGCGGGGGGGAGCAGGAGTTGGGTGTAAATCACAGAGATGGTGGTGAACAGTACTCTGGGACCATGACTACTTGGTATACTGTACTGTACTGTACTTGGTAATTCGACTTCGAGCCATGCTAGGGGAGGCAGATCCAACTGTCTGGCTAAAGTGATGGTCAGAGGAACTCCTCATGTGACCAATAGTGGCTGCTCCTCCCATGCTCAGCCCAGTGCCACCATCACCTACTCCAGCTCCACTCAGACCCACACCACCAGCACCCATGGTGGTGCCAACCAGGCCACTGCTGCCTATGCCTCCAATCCCACCTAACCCAGTGGTGCCACTCACACCGGCACCAGAAACCACTCTCTCTGTCACAATCACGTTGTGGGCACTTGATAACTCAGGGGACATGCTTAGGTTGCCTATCATGCCGGAAGTTGGTTGGATCACTCTTTCTGTCACAACTACATTTGAGGTCTCTCGAGGGTTAGGAATGGTTAGTGAGGTGGGTAGACTTGAGCCTGGTGCTATTACCCTTTCTGTCACTATAACATTTGATCCATCTCTTAAGTCGGGTATCTCTAACATCCCATGCAAATCAGCACCAGAGATGGGGCCCACCACCCTCTCTGTCACCACCACATTTGAAGCCTGCCGGTTATCATGAAAGTGGACAGAGGGCTTCAGAGTGCCAGAGGTGGTATAGGACTCCCTCACAGTGACATTACCATAGCCCAGAGGATCAGGAATTGGCATAGGATGCTGTACTCCAGGGCCAGAGGGATAGGTGTTCTCAGAAATTACTGTGGTAGTGCCAAAATGTGGGGAGATGGGTGGGTGTCCACTAACAACGGGCTCTGTACGCTGGGGGCATGTTGGTTCAGTGCTCTGAGGAGGCCAGGAAGGATCGGGATCTGGGTATGAATCTATTTCTTTTCCCAAGCTGATATCTGCCAACTTCTTAAACTTAGGCCCCAAGGTATCCAGGAAGCTTTCATCTAGATCTTCTCCAATGAAGCTGCAGCATCCCACGGAGCCTGCAGGGGAACCTACACCTTCGATGTCATAGATGAGCAAACAGTCGTTGGATGGACGTCCTTCATCTTCGTCCGCGTAAGCATAGGCTTTCTAATTTGTACAGAATAAAGAGTATTAAACAAAAAGTCACAATATCTTTTTTACAATTAGATGAATGTATCTAAATTCTGATATTTACTAGAACTGCTTTAAAAATGATTTCAAAGGTGCTTGAAAGAATTCAGTTCGAAGTTATTTTAGCTATAGTTCCAATACATTTTGATCTTTAAAATTTTCTTTAGGTAAACTTGCTTAAAATCATATACAAAATCATATACACAAAATCATATACAAAAATCCATACATTATCTATCTTATCAGTAATTTAGGAGGGAAATAAAAATAATGTGCACAAAGGAGCTGGTGAGAGGAACTTGTTTTTGCTCCAAAAGGGATATTTAGAGTTGACAGGTTCACTCACATTGAGACGCGGGGATATTTGAATTGAATCTGGAAGGGTGGCTGGAAATGTGTATGAGAGGAGGGGTGGGGAACAACAACCGAACAACAACAACACTACACAACACAACATTGCAGAGTGGACCAGAATAGCCAGCCAGAGGCTCGAGGTAAGCAGTCTCCTGTGGATAAGGCAGGAGGTTGGTGCTGAGGGGAAGATGGAGCTGTTCAGGTGGCACCTGAATCATGAATTTGAACTTTAAATTACAAACCAAATAAAATAGAGCCACTGGCAGTGTTTAACTGGGAGAGGAAAATGCTTGGGTCAGAGCTTCAGAAACATTGACCAACAAACAAGAATGGTTGGGCATGAAGATTAGACCACTGGCAAGGCCCTCATGGGAACTGGTGAGTGTACGGAATGAGGGGGATGGAGAGGAATGCAAGCATGTGGCTAAAAGGCTCACCTGGCAGAAGTAACTTTCCATGAAATTCATATTGAGACCTCCATCTCTACATTCTCTCATTGAATTTCTTCTTAACGTTCCTGAATATTCCTGGCATATCTCAGGTGCGGCTGACGCTTTGACTCCATCCATTAGTTCGAATCCTGTAGTTCTTTCTTCTCCTCCCAGATCTTGCATTTCTCTGCCACAATATTCATTTGTATAAACTCCTACAAACATTGAACCCATCAAATTTAATTTCTCTAGTGTGGTATAAGCTAAAAACTGTCATATATAGTTTCTTCATTCAAGTATGCATGGTGAGCAGAAAAGAGATGGATATGATACATAAAGGAGGGATAATTATAATATTAAATTCAAAACAATGTTAATAAAGCAAAATAATATTGAGCAGCTTGCTAAGTTTAATCATCTGCTGAAAGACTTTTCTATATGCTGAAAACTACGTGCTGAAAGAAGTGCAGAGAGATAATAAAAATCTGTGGGCTGAGTAATTGGATCTCAAACTGACTCAAGTTGAGGCAAGTAACTTTAATTCTAAAAGTTATGTACTTGTATCAGCAAACTTCTGATGTGTTTCTGGATGTATATGGCATCCTGTAGAAGGCATAAGAGCTACTGAATTTCAGACAAAGGCCATAGCTACAATGAGAAAAAAAGGTTGCTGGATTTATCTTGGGTAAACATATGGACGTGAGCGAGGGGAAGGAGCATAGTAAATGCTGAGGTAGTGAAATAAAAAGGAAATGAAATTAAAGATGGTGAACAGAGGCAGGGTTCACAGGAGGGCAGATGCCCATGGCACAACATTCTAATTTGAGTCTTGGGAAACAGGCCTTTCATATTCCAATTATCATGATACGTTTCATGCTAATTTAGGATTTGTGTGAAACTTTATGAACTTAAGGAAGAGAATCAATGCGTAGATAAGTATTGGTGGTTTTGATGAGTTGGCAGGTCTCAGGAACCAACTGCAGACTAACGGGGGTCGGGGATGTGACTCAGTGAGCTTCTGTTTTCTGCATGGGGAAATACTTGCACAACTAACAAGAATGGGCACATCAGGAAGAAAAATGGAAACAGTGACTGACTATTGAATACAGACTCTTGATATAGACTATTGAATTAAATTCGACAAAATAGAAACATTTCTATGACTGGTGTATTTTAGAGTGTTCAAAGTAGAAAAGTAATTCTACTGGGGCTGGAAAGATGGCTCAGTGATTAAAAGCACTTGCTACACTTGCAGAGAACACGGGTTTGGTTCCCAGCACCCACATAACAGTTCACAGCTGTCTGTAACTACAGCTCCAGACCATCTGATGCTCTCTTCTGGCCTCCAAGGGCAACACACGCACACACACACACACACACACACACACTGTGCACAGATATACAAGCAGACAAACACTCATACAAATAAAATGAAAAACAACTAAGTTTTAAAAAGAAATAATTGCTAAAATGACTAAGAAAAAACGGAGACAACAAGTAACACTTTTTAAAAATTAAAATAGTAAGACTATTTCTACTGGCAGAAGATGAAGTTATTGTCATTTCTTTTTTATTACAGTAGTAGCTTCCTGGCTTCTGCGTGGGAGTTAGCATAGATATTTGGTTCAAGATAATTGTACATACCCAGTCTTAAGACTAAGCAAAGAGAAACTCCCCAGTGTGTATACAACCTTAGCTGAATGTTTTGGGAGCTTTTGAGGTGTTTTATCTATTTGCTTTCAATTAACAAATTCATTAAACAAATATTTTTATATGTCAGTGGTTATACTTATGTTAAGAAAGGACATATTTTTTTCTGTAAAAAATGTCGCTAATGTAAAAAAAACTTGATTGGACAAACTGGGATAATTTTCTATACACACGTACATGCATACACACATCTACACACATGCACATACATACATGGACACATATAGTATTTCATCTGTTAGATAACTCATGACTATATTTTGGTATTTCTTTTTAAAGAGATCCTGATTACATCATCTTTCTGATGATCAAGGGTGATTTAAAAATATACAGCATGTGGACTGGAGAGATGGCTCAGTCAGTAAAGGGAAGGCTGACAACCAAAAATAAAGTATACAGCATATCAGATCAATTACAGTAGGCTTTCCTTTACTATTCCTTTCATTTACAAATATGTCATTGGAAAAGGAATTGTAAAAACACATTTAAAGAAAAGAAAAGCAAAACAAAACCCCTAAAGAATAAGATGCCAAACTGGAGAGAACAGGGCTCATCTTAGTCTTTGGGTCGTTGGAATGTTGTCTTTTTCTTACCTGAGTTGTCAATACATTCTATAATATTGGCATTACCAGGTGGCATTTGTGGCACACAGATGGTGGTTATACCCTAAAAGACAAGAGACAACATTTTCCCATTTGTAATGAGCCTTTTCTTCCTCTACTTGTATATTTTTATTCTAAAATTATTACAGAATTCCTAAAAGAAGACTATTTAGGATGATTTTGAATTCGATTTAAAAGTTGAATATCCCTCTGCACCCAAATCCTGCCTGGAAAGAGCTGGTCTCATAGGAGTGCTCACACTCCTAAGCTCAGAGGTGAGATCACCACTTTCACACCTGCCAGAAGCCCACAGGGCACAGGAACAGTGGAGCAGCTGGGGACAGGATCTTTCTGGTCTCTGGTCTCCATCTACATCCTGGAGCTAAGGCTGTCCCACAGCCCTCTGTACCCAAACCCCACCTAGGAAAGAGCTGGTCTCCCCAGGAGTACTGGCACACCTAAGTTCACAGACTCACAGACCCACAGGAGAGACAAGCTTCAGTCAGAGACAGCAAGACCAACTAACCAGATGGTGAGAGGCAAGCACAAAAACCTAACCAACAGAAACCAAGGCTACTTGGCATTATCAGAACCCAGTTCTCCCACCACAGCAAGTCCTGAATACCCCAAAACTTGGGAATAGCAAGATTTGGATTTAAAATCACATCTCATGATGATGATAGAAGACTTTAAGCAGGACATAAATAACTCCTTTAAAGAAATACAGGAGAGCACAGGTAAACAGGTAGAAGGCCTTAAAGAGAAAATACAAAAATCCCTTAAAGAATTACAGGAAAACACAAACAAACAGGTGAAGGTATTGAACAAAACCATCCAGGATCAAAAAATGGAAATATAAACAATAAAGAAATCACAAAGGGAGATAACACTGGAGATAACAAACATAAGAAAAGATCAGGAGTCACAGATGCAAGCATCATCAACAGAATACAAGAGATAGAAGAGAGAATCTCAGGTGCAGAAGATACCATACAAAACATTGACACCACAGTCAAAGAACATGCAAAAGCTCCTAACCCAAAACATCCAGGAAATCTAGGACACAATGTGAAGACCAAACCTAAGATTAATAGGCATAGAAGAGAGCAAAGATTCCCAACTTAAAGGGCCAGTAAATATCTTTAACAAAATTATAGAGGAAAACTGCCCTAACCTAAAGAAAGAGATGCCCATAAACATCAAGAAGCCCATAGAAGTCCAAATAGATTGGACTAGAAAAGAAATTCCTCCCGTCACATAATAGTCAAAACACCAAGTGCACAAAACAAAGAAAGAATATTAAAAGCGGTAAGGGAAAAAGGTCAAGTAACATATAAAGGCAGGCCTATCAGAATCACACCAGACTTCTCACCAGAGACTATAAAAACCAGAAGATCCTGGGAAGATGTCATACAGATCCTAAGAGAACACAAATGCCAGCCCAGGCTACTATACTCAAGAAAACTCTCAATTACCATAGATGGAGAAAAGTTGAATCTCAATTTTAAGCCTTGCCTGGTGACCTCTATAAACTTTTGAGGTACATTTGACCCCTCTCCCTTTCCTCCCTAGCTACCCAAGAACCACGAATAGTATAGAGTAAATACTTTCTATCATCAGAAGGCACATCTGGAGATGGAATTTTGGTGAGTCCCACAAATCTCATTCTTAGACTTAGCACTTACATCGTGGGGTTCAGGTTGTGGCCCTTCTACTGCCCACGTGTGCATTGCTCCATCAGAACATTCTGGAACAGGTTCAAATCCAGCTCCACCACCAGGAGCTCCTCCACAATCACAGCAGATCAGCAAGAATGGAACCACTGAAGGAGAGGGAGGTAAGGGGTTAACAATGCGCCATGTTGAAAGAAAGCACTCTGATTTTCCCTGGTCAAATGAGAATTCCTGAGCTGTCTGAGTTTAAAATTACTATTTAATATGCCAGGACAACAAATTAATAATGGTTGGACCCCCATATAATCATGAACTTGGAAGCATTAGACTTCCATGAATTTTAATTTTCTTTATAGTACTGAAATTATAGATAAAATCTTAAAATAAGTGATTGTATGTATCATCACTTAGGAAGCAGCAGAGACTAAGGAATGCTGAAGTCAGGCAACAGTTCTGATTCTTTATGCCTGTATTTACTTTTCCGTTTGTGCACACTTCTCTTTCTCTATTTTAGGGGAAACCTCATTCAATTATCAGTTATTTTTAGGAAGGTCATTATTTTCCCTACAGAGACATCTTTCTTTAGACGATTCTCACATAAAGATTATCACACTCTAGCAATTTCTTTGCTTTCTAATCTGTTTTGAGATAGAATCTTGATAGATAATTCTGAATGAAAAGATAGAAAATAAGGATGTGTAAATAATGGAAAGAAAAATTAGAGCAGAGGAGAGGGGCCAGAAGAAAAGAGACAGCAAAAAATAAAAAAAAACCCCTGTAAGGCAGAGAGAAGAAATTAAATGTAAAGTTATTGACCCAAAAAACTTATGTACATCATTGTTAGTCACACTGTCTGACAGTGGACATTGGTATTAGGGAAACTGAAAATGAAAATTAGCTGTTATTTATAGCAATCATCATCAGCTTCAGTTCCAAGGAATTCGTGGACCAGACCCATGTGCTTTAAATTTATATTCATGTAGGCAAAACACTTATACACATAAAATAAAAATAAATATATTTAAACAGAGAGAAATGAAGGCAGAAAAATATTTTAAAATTTTTATGTGAGTTCTTTCAATGTACATTTTGTGATATGTGAAGTTTGTTTTACCATCAACATTTTATGATCCTACATTTGAAAATGGCAACCTCCCAAATGCTTGGATGGTAGGTGTGTGCCACCATGTTCAGTTGCAAATGTCAATATTTGTATTAACTTAATGACTGTGTGTAGTCTTCAAGATACCCCCTTCCACTCCAGTTTCTGTCATAATTTAGGACAATATTAAATTCCACCAGGAACATCTGTTGGACTCTATGTTTGTATTTCTGTCCATGACTAAGGTTACTGTAGTGACCCCAGATGTATCATTGCTTCACTTGTGGACCTTTCCTCACCTATTGGTGGTGTGAGGTCAGCAAGAACAACAGCAAAACTCAGAACAGCAGGTTAGGTAATCCTTGCAAGTCATAGTGTTAAGTTGAACACCTAGACTGTTTGATTTCTTTTGCCATATTTTTTGAGAGACACAAGTCAGAAGAAGGATTGAAACACTTACATCCTAAGACTAGGAACCCCATGATGAGCAGCCCGATGCCTGCAGGACCGAAGTGAACATTGTCTCCGTATGCTGGGATGTCAGGATTTTGGTAAGAGTCAGTGTTAGGGCCGTAGGGGTCTTCCCGTATTGTGGTACGTCGTGGATCCTCAGTGGAAGTTCTTTGATAATCACCAGTCACTCGTCCATCAGTCACTTGTCCATCCTCACGGTCTTTTCCACCACCTTGATCCTTTTCCCAGACAGAGCCACTAAGTTGAACGATGATTGTCCCAGTGCAGGTCCGCTGAAGGGAATCTGTAACAAGATTCACAGTGGAAGAAACTACTGTCCGTACATAGCCTAGCAAGTAACAGGTTACAAGTGTCCACCATGCCCAGCAGCTTGTGGGGGTTCTGGAAACTCATCCTTGGAAAGCAATTGCTTCACTGATTATCTATCTCTGTAGCTCTTCTACTCAGTTTTTAAGCCAATCAGTGATTGTGTTATTATACCTAACCTTAACCTTACTGGCAAAACTGTTTACTGGATAGTTTATAGTGTTGCCAGTTAGATATTTCATCTAGGTTGAAAAATTCAAAATACAGAAAGATGTAAAATAAAACCAGAAGCTAACCCATGGCATCAGGACCTAAGGGATAACCTTCTAGTTTCCTTCAGTATCAGTTGTCCTTAGTGATAAGGCCCATGTTGCCTATTTATGGCATTTATGGTTCATTCTGCTTCCAATGGGATTTGAGGTTTTACTTTAAATTGTATGCACTTTTTCATGCCTTAGTACACCTTTAATTAACATAGTTTCTGGTGGGTACATGGTTTTATATCAAATGGGCTGTATTTCCTTCCTTAGTTACCTGCTGATACAGCTTTCAATAGTAACTGCTAAAGACACAGGTGTTAGCATCTCTGTTTAGCCTTCTGTATTTAGTGCTTTCCCAAAGATTATCACTAGTGAGATTGTCAGATAGGAATAAGGAAATGAGCTGAGTTTGTTTTGTGCTATTCTATAGATATGAGTCTTACTTTCACTGACAGAGCCCTAGAGCCTGGCACAATGGCTAGCATTTATTTAGTTAAGATTCAGTACATACTTTGTGAATAAAGGAAATGAAATCTCTGGAGATGAGATGTGCAACAGACATAGTTCAAAGTCTGCTTATCTGACCCTACAGGTCATCCAATGATGATCATGCTGTTTATACATGTCTTGCTATTTTCTTTTCTCTTCTTTTTTCTTCTTTTCTCTTTCCTTCCCTCCCCTCTCTTCTCCTCCCCTCCCTCCCTCCTTCCCTCCCTCCCTCCCTCCTTCCCTCTCTCCCTTCCTTCTTTCTTTCTTTAAACCATTATCAGCATATTTTGTTACTTCTCTATTTTGCAGAAGACTGTGGTGTAGATGGGTGAGGTGGCTTCTCTAGGAACTGATAAGCAGTAAATGATGGGATGGGACAGTTTGAGTATACAGTGTTCAGCTCAACAGGACAACTTCTATTGAAAAGGGGCTTTTCCAATCCACTTGCATTCCGGTCACAGCCCCCACCTCCTTTCTTCCCCGATTTCTCCTTCCCCCTCTCCTCACAGGGAGCCAGAAAAGAGGATTTTTTTTTACAATAAAATTTTAAATTGTCTTAGAATATTTATGCTTGGCTTCCTTTGGAAGTTAAATTGATTTCTTACCATCTATTGATAGCAGTGTTCCTTCATATCTCCCATTAAGCCTTTCATATTGTTCCCTAGTAACTTTGTTTCTTAAAGTTAGTATGCCTGTTCTTGAGTCAACAGCCAGCAGGTTCTCTGGGTTATTTCCCATTACATATCTGTATTTAAAAGAATACAATATAAATTAAAGCTCCCTTTCAAATCGAGATGTTGTAAAATTATGTTTGTAAGATTAGTATACAAATAACGGGTTTTTCATGTCTTTTCATACATGTCTGAAAGCATACTTTGTCAAATTCACTTTGTGCTCAGTCATTCTCCTTCCCTCTCGCCCACCTCATGCTGCCCGCCCTCCTGGCTGGTTCCCTTTCTTCCCCCAAACAGTGTTTGCTTTCATTCTTTCTCTCTCTCTTCTCATGATCCCCTAAGGTTAACATTTTAGTTGGAAAATGCCATTCTTACCTAACATTTGTGGACTCTAGACCCGTGTCCAGGTCTGTAGCTGCAAACTGTCCCACCTTGTGGTTTGCATCCATTTTACCAGTTATTTCAAACGTCTTTGAACCTGGCCGGAACACGGAGCCCTCGACCACGTTTACCACAGTCACAGTGACCATAGTTGCTGTGAGTCTATATTGAGCAAGAATTGACTGGTGGAAATCAGCTACGTTTCTAACACCAATACTAAGCTGTACATTCTTCATGGCTTCATAATCTAGGGGCTAGAAAACACAGAGAGAATTAGTTGTACTGTAAGAAAAGTTCAGAGGACAGAGAAATCCTTTGAGAACACTCAAAGTTATTTATTTATTTATTATATTCTTGTTTCAGTTATGTGGTTGATCACAAATCCACGTAATTACCCAGTCTTACTTGTGTTCAAGGTCACATATAAGTAGAGGAAGGGGAAAAAATCTAGTTATCCTGGATCTTTTGTTGAAAGGTTGAAAACTTTTTGGGACATGAGTTCTAATTGCTCACCAAACCAGTTAATTGCTTAAATTCAACATATGAGTCAATTAATACATTTGCAGTGCAAAGACAATTTTTGTTAACTGACAACATTTCATGGTTCTGACACAGTATTTCTTTTTATAAAAAAGAATGAGTCAAATATACTAGAAATTTAACTAGTTTTATCCTGAAGAACTATTTAAAATACTCACTTCAGTGTGATGTTTTGAATGTCAAGGTATGTGCGCATATATATATAAAATTTCTTATTTTCTTCAATATGCTCTAAAATTATTTCATACTATAATCAAGTATTAAGTGTTCTTATAGAAGTTGATAACCAAATCCACACTTTGTAGAATTTACCAGATAGCTGATATGTTCCCCATGTACCAAATATATCTTTTCTGAATTCTTATGAATATTTTAAATAAAAATATTCATACACTGAGATGCTCATCTAAAAATCTGGGATTATAGATTTAGTTTTATTCAAAACTTTAAACATCAATTATAACATATATATGTATGTGTAAATAATATATAATCATATCACTCTTCCATAACTATAAAATAAAGGATTTGGTGTGTGCTAGTATATCAGGAAGAAATATTCTAGTTTTTAGGTAGCGATATTAAGAACAGATAAAGTGTATAATTTTTAGAGTAACATAAAATTGAAAGTAAATAAATTCAGAATTAATTTCCCTAGCATCCAATTTTAGATAGTATCAGAAAAAAATGAATTTAACAGATAACAAAACCTAAGTTTAAATCACTGTGTCTTTTGCTAGCAATAAACAGGTTGCATGCTTTCTGAGCCTCCATCTCTTTGTCTATATAGATTTGATATAACCAGTACTGGAAGAGCTGACCAGAAGCATCTGGAAACTGTTTCAAGCAAATGGAAGCAACAGTTTCAGTGAATAAAATTTTAAGATACATGAGAGGCATAAGACCACACTTCCTTAAGTGGGTTAGTCTATTGGAAATCTGCTTCATAAGGTTATCCTGAAAGGCAGACTGCAGCAAGATTGATGATAAGTCTAGAGAGACCAGAGTGACAGAGCTAGGGGAACCCTGGGGTCTACACTAAGGCAGAATCCCCAGGGAATGGAGAAACCCCAACAGGAGAGATGAATGAAAGAGGTAGACGAAGGGCGATTGAGTTGTATCCCGAATGATTCATATTGTGTGCATCACATAAAATCGTCAATAATTGTTGAAGACTTAATCAGGTGGAAGATCTCACTCTCAGCTTCTCCTGAGGTGGATTTTCACCTTCTATTGCAGAGGACATCTTACTGAATGTAAGTGTGGTGAACGGTTGATACAGAAGAGAACTAAATAAGCCTTGGCCAACAGCCACAATGAAATGGGAATATGAAGGGCCTATAATTCTGTAATTGTCAAGCACAGTTTAATTCCATAAAAGCACACTGGCAGAATTACAATGATTTAATTTTATCATCCTGTTGGGAAATCAACTTTCAATTTATATGATAAATATTTCTAAAGCATAATATCAGCATCTCAGTGTTGGCATGAGAACATTTTAAAAAATTGGTTTTAAAAATATTATTTAATTATTGACTTTGAGGTTAGAGAGATGTTTTAATGGTTTAGAGCACATAATGCTCTTGACGAGGACTGAAGCTCAGTTCCTAGGCTAGCACTGGGCAGCTCATAACTGCACATAATTTCAGCTTGAGGAGATTTGATACTTATGGTCTCTGAGGGCACTACACTCAAGTGCACATGTCCCTACACAAATACAAAAACCCACATGCAATTAAAAATGCTGAAGTAAATCTTTAAATAAATGTAAACAAAACCTTCACTTTAAAGGTTAATCATACTTTGTTGTTTGAAACCCTCTTATATAGAAATGCTTTCCCCAGACCTGATCTTTGGAAACAATTGCACTGAAAGAGTTTCAAATTTTTAATGCTTGTTCTCCTGAGATTATATAAGCATATGCATTCATATTAAAGTTTTTGTATTTTACATAATTTTAAAGCATATTAATTTTTGTTATTTCATAGGCTCATTTATAAAATGCTAGTATCATTTTAACTCGATGTTGTGAAATAGAAAAGACCAGCAAAACAAATGCTTTAGGGTAGTTATACCATACCTTGACAACCTTTAGAGTTCCTACATTTGTTCTTTCATTCATTTCTATTTCAAACCAATTTCCCTCATTTCCAGAGATAAAAAAAATGACTGCCTTCCAGTTGTCTGAGAATTCTTCATCCAAATCAATGACTCTGATCTGCACTAGCTGGGAGTGTAGTGCGTTTTCTTCAATTTTGATGTCATACTGGAACAAGAGGAAAAGTATTAGAGCAAAGCACCGGAGAGATTCACGTACTAGGCTGTCTGCACCATGTTCATAGTTAACTATTCAGAAACAACATCTCTGCTTATTAATTGCATACTTTGTTCAAATCCACTTTTTCCACTGAAGAAACAATTCAAGAGATAGTGTGTGTCTACACTGGTGTTGTAGATAGCCAATATAGCAGGTGCAACTGAAAACTGAATGAGTTCCTATAAGAATTGGGCTGTGAAGAATGTAAAGTCATGGAATCTAATCCTTAAGAGGAATTGCTTACAGATGACTGCTCCAAGTATGGGATATTGTCATTGACATCCAGGATGCTGATGCTGCACTCGCATTCTGCAGACATGCCATCTGCTCCACCATCACGGTCTGAGCCTCTCACCACAAGGGTATACTGGCTATATTGCTGAAAAAGACACATATTATGGGCAATCATACATTAGACATAGACACTGGCCCAACATCTACATAAATCCACCATAGAAGACAAGGAAACAGAAGGTGAAAATCCACAGATCTTACATCACTCAGTATGGAATTTGTGGTGTCCATTTCCAATGAAACTTACCCAGCATGCTCTCAAAGATGCAATAGTTTTGTTCAAGACTTTGTTTCTTATTCATTGTGTGTCCAGAGAGAGGAAAAGGGTATAAAGAGTGAGACAGGCCAGAATATTTAAGAAGAGAAAGATATGGTTCATTAAACATGCATGCTATGAACAATGAGCCACTGAGTATGTAAGACAAGTACAGAGGTGTCTAGTGGAAGGGGGAGAGTGAGAATGAAGTCACTCATGCTGTTTCTACTTTGATTCTATTCAGTGGTGACTCCATTTCTAGAAGTTGGTAAAAGCTATGGGAGCATCCTTAGACTTATGCATAAACATAATACTTCCCATTTATGGATATAGCTTCAGCATTTCTCTTCATGGTCCCCAGAATCCTCAGTGATTGCTGAGGGCCTTCACTTCTGACCCCTTCTTAGAGAACTTTACTGATAGAGTTATTTTGATGTTAATATATTTTTGTTGGATTATGTAAAATAATCTGAGAGAAAAGGAAAAGGCTAGATAACCATATTTTTATTCTAAATGTGTTTTTTTCAAAGCAGTCAATAAAGAAATTTAAGTAACCTAAAAACATCCACAGACCTGTATAGGTTCAAACAAGACAAAATCCCAGCACTGAGGAAAAGAGGACACAAAGTACCACCCCTAATCAAGAAGCTCTTTGCAAATGATTTCTGCTGAAAATTAGAAATCAGCTTTCTACAATGGGATGCCACATATCAGCTACAGTCCAGGGCAGGGCCCATGTCCAGGAGTACTTACATTAGACAGACTTTTATTTGTGTGTGAGTTTTTTACTTTAATATTTTTTATCGTACTAGGTTTTCTGAGTCTGTTCTGATGTTTGGTTTCTTTTCAGGAGGAAAGGAAGAGAAGGGGAGAGAATGAAGGTGGGAGGGAAGGGATCTGAGAGGAGTTGGAAGGGGAGAAAGAGTATGATCAAAATATATTGTTTGTAAAAAATGTTTTAAATTATTTTTTAGTATAAATAGGGCTAGCGAGATGGCTTAGCAGGTACATGCACTTGCCATAAACCTAACAACTTGAGAGTAACCCACATGATACAAGGAGAGAATCAACTCTTAGAAGCTGTTCTCTGACTTACAAAAGAACACTAGGACCACACATACAATAATAAACAAACAAACCAGAAAATAAATAAAATACACAATGTTTGAACACATTCTTTTAGTTTTTCTTTCTCTTAAGCACCATTACTTTAGAGCCAGTTCCTTAGGATAAAAATCCATGAAAAGATGAAAGATTACCTCTCTGTCTAGAAAATTATTCATTGTTCTGATTTCTCCAGTTTTTCTGTTGATGATGAACATGGGTGATTCAGAAGGCTCCTGTCTTATGATCTTGAAGGCTATCATTGAGTTCAAGTTATTTGGCTCATCAGCATCGGTAGCATTGAGTTTCATTATCAGTGTGTCTAGAAATCAAGGACAGTTGGCAGAGTTGGACAATGAACATTATTACAGACAAATATATTATCTGTGTCCATACAGTGTGCATTTAACTCTCCCCCCTTTGTACAACACCAACATACCAATCAAATATCTCCCTTCTCTACTTTTGTCTTAATGAAAAGATCACAGTTAAAGAGGTTCCTAGACATTACAGAAGGGTAAAAGGAAATCTGCTGTTCTGACTGTTTATTTTTCAAATATAACTTGTTTTAAACAAGATGCTTATGGCTAAGCAAAATAGCATTAAAACATGATCAATGTTTTTCTCAACTGTGCTATACGACCTTATTTCTAGCCATATGCCCTTATCCTTACTACCCACAACTACAAATGAGAATGGTAATAACACCATAGTTATAAAGTTCATGAGAGAATTTAATAGCAAATGTGAATATTGACTGATGTTTATACTGAATAATGCAATTTAAGTAAATATTATTGTTCATCTTGGGCATTTAATAAGTGCCATTGTTATTTAGATTGGAATTGGCTCTTTGATAGGTGCTGTGTAACTAGGAGCTTGTAAGAATTGTTTGTTTGACCACACACTGCCCTGTCCTTATCTTCTTTTGTAATCTAGTATATAGTTTTGACGAATGACACTTGTGGGCATGCAAAGCTTTTGACATTCATTCATCATCTGGAATGCTGTTCTACTCTCTAAATTGTTTCCAACATCATTTTCTAGTCATTCAGGACATCTCATCCCTTCTCTTTTTGCTTCTTTCCATTCTGTCATCTTCTTTCCCTCTTCTCTTCTCTCACCTCTCCCTCTTAGCTTCACATCTTTTGAACAATCTTCAGTGGTATATACTGTATCACTTAGGTTACTGAGTATTTGGTAATTAAATTTTTAGATACAGGAAACCACAGGGCAACAACTCTACTCTGAGACTGTCAGAGTCCTTTCAGAGAAATGCTACAGTGGAATAGACTTTTAGTCCCAACAGTTAGCATCATTTGAGAGATATGCTTCCTATATTTATGGTGAGCCATATGGAATTACATTTATGACACATTTACAATGTATAAAGCCAGCAACTTGATCAAAGAGAACCATTGAAATTGGACCTCTGTGGTTGTGAGTTTCATGCCCACAATTCAGCCCATATTGAATGGGGAAAATTAAAAAAACTTACATTACATCTGAGTACATAAAGACATTTTCATGTCATGAGCTACAGGATAATAAATATTTATATGACATTTTTAGTGTATTGGGCATTATTGCTATCTAGAAATAATTAAAAATATTTGAAGGGATTTATGTGAGTTTATGCAAACAAGACATCATTTGTAAAAAGATATGAATTCCATAGATCTCTTTATCTTTAGAGGTCCTGGAACCAAACCAGAAAAGAGGGATGACTGCATTTATTATAGCTTGAAGGAAAAGGGGAAGCAAAGATTTTTGGGGCATTCATTTATTGTTAAGAAAAGCTCTAAGTATCAAAACAGATTACTTGTATCAGATATGTTTGAGAGACTTAAAATAATCAAGCTCATTCTGTTTCCAGTACTTACTGTTCTTCAGTTTCTACTGGGTACTGTTCACTCCATCCCTCTGCAAGTGTGCCTTGGAAATGAGTGAGAACAGATAGTACTTGTTTTTCTGTGTCTGGCTTGGTTTGTGTAGGGGTGATCAAAGTTACAACTCATAAGGTCTTTTGAGTTCTTCTTCAGCAGAATAGAGTATCCATCTATGATATATTTTGAAATGATTGCAAAAGGAGAATATGAAGCTCTTCAGCACTTCCTGGTTAATGATGGGGAACTCTCTTGACCCTTGTTTGGCTATTATGCATTGTATTGAATAATGTACTCCCATAAAGAGGTACATTTCTTATGTCTGGATAAAAAAAATAAATCTAAAGTAAGGATTTTGATCATGTGTGAGTGGGATTGCCTTTCAAACACATTCGGGTAGAGAGTAAGTTCTCATTTCTCTGAGCCTGTAGGCACTTGCAGATCCTGTTGGGATGTAGTATAAGAATCTCCAAGGAGCTAGGGCACGAGGCATGAGTATCAATCCCATTTGTTGCTTTGGAGATGCTCCTGGGTTGACACTGCAACTATTCCCTGAGTTGTTGGTTCTGGATGCTTTCTACAGTTCTCCCAGTTGATGTTTACCTTGCCACAGCTCAGCACTGTTGCTTAGCAACAGAAATTTAGTCATCAACACATTGTTTCTTTAATTGTACAGGTGACTCACTTGCATTAGAATTTTCTTCTATTTGTCCTAGAAATGTAGTCATTGAAAACACGGGAGGGTTGTCATTTATATCCATCACTCTGACTCTAAGCGCCAGTGTATCCTCCAGATCTTGACCTTGTGCATTCAGTGCTCGACAGTAGATCTAGACAGGAAAGAAAAAAAATCTGTAGCAACGCATGTGTTTGTAACTGCTTACAGAATGGAGGCATTCGCTTGGTACCACAGGAGTAAGGGACACCATATTATTTCCCACTAAAATATTGACACAAGTAATACATTTCAATCAGTAAGAAAAGGCAAACGTGAGCATAGCATAAAATGTAAGTTTAAAAAACAGCCTGGAATGTTAGAGAAAAGGAATGTTGCATATTCTATGTTTAAAATCAAGCAAAAGGGTGTCAGGGAGAGTCAGAGGAGCACTTTAAAAAATAAATGGCATTCAAATGTTTTGGGGTAGCTATGTGGCTATTTATTTCATCATTACTGTTTCCATTCTAAAGACATGTAATGTGTCTCAAATTCGACTAGTTTGCTGACTTGGTGAATTCTTTTGGGAGACACTGCAGAGGGAAGAAGTCAAGAATACAGATTTGGACTTGGAGACTAAGTGGTTAAAGTAATTCTAGGGATACAGATGAGTAGTGTGAATGAAGGCAGCAAAAAATAAGGAATATCTGAAGGTAGTTTGAAATACGACTTTTTTTTCAGGGCTGGGAATCAAACCCATGTCTCTTCATGCAGTCAACAAATGCTTAATCACTGAGTTTAATCCTCAGACCTTTGATGAGATTTTAATAGGAGAGAAAACAAGATCAGTGGACAGTTCATTTTTATTTTATCTTATATTTTTAATTAAGAAATGTCAACCATGTGATCGATGGAAATGGAGGTAGTCAATAGAAAGGAGAACAGAAGGAAAAAGGTATGTCTGAGGATAAGGCTCATTCAGAGATAAGTAACAATGGGGCTGTCAACATGTCACGGGAGAGCTCCGGGAAAGTAGAGAGCTGATCCTGCTTTTAGACTCAGTGATGAACACTTCTGAGCTAGAAGAGAGAGTGCTATGTGTATGCATGGGAGTCATCAGGATAGGTGGCTTGGTTTGGGGTTAGTTACTTAAAGAGAGCTGAGGTGGCACATTGGAAGAGAGGCTACTAAAGTTGTGTGACAGTTTCTAGAAGGAATAAAAAAGAGAGACAAGGCCAGGTAAGGATGAATGAGTTTCTAAAGTTCATTTAGAGCTCAGATGAGCTTAATTATAATGAAGTATGTTCACGTGGAACAACTGGCCTCCAGGAGCTCCAGGCTCATCCCTTGGCAGTGGACTTAAAAGGAGAAAGGGAGGGGACATAGGGGGAGGGAGACTGGGAGGGAAAGCTCTGATCTGGATACAAAGTAAATAAGCTAATGAATGGAAAAAGGAAGTATTGATTTCCACTGATCTTTCTCTTTTAAATATCTAGTAAAAGCTAAAGATTTGTCCTTCCAAACAAGTATTCGAATTTGTTAAGGAGCTGATATAAACTAGCATTTTTGCTAACACATAAGGAAAACATTTCTCTATTAATATTTCCTTATCTATTGGGATAGTGAGTTAAGAAAGATCTCAGAAGGCTTAATATTGAGACTCTTGAAATCAAATTTGGTATGGTCTAATATTTTTCCAAGAATAATTTTTATCTGCATATAGTTAATGACACAAAGTTCACTTACAATGAAAAAGGGGGTGACTTCACGATCAACAATAGATGTTATATTGATTTCACCAGTTTTTTGATTAATAATAAAGATTCCATAAGGTGGCTGGTCAATTCCTACTCCAGAGATTCGGTATGTCACTTGTTGGTTTGCAGCACAATCTGAATGAATCTGTATAAAGACACAGGTGAAGATGTTACAAGGGCTATGTGAACTCCTACATATGACAGATGACGAATGTCTTCCTCAAGAACTGTTGAATGTGCTGTCTATGACATCACCTAGGAGTTTTAAAAACAGGGAAATATATTTGGAGCAGTAGATACATGGTCAGTGTTGAATTTATAATGATAAATAGCAATGTAATAAAATAATTCCATTTCTATGTCTACCAAACAATAAACAAATGTCCCCCTAAGAAGTCTTTATATACATTGTTCATAGATGTCATAATCATTAAACATTTATAGTTTTATTTTCATACTAGTTTTGGACTCTATGTTGGCTCTTTGTCTAGAGTTAGCCTTCATAAAGAGTTTCATAATGCAGTTATCACATAATATTAGTCTTTAAATTAAAAATAACTTTAAAAATATAAAGTTTCAAAAAATATTGAAATGGATTTTGTAGTAACAGGCTATTTGAAACTTCTAATTTTGAAGGTGGGAAGGAGAAGGAAAGTACCCACTCCAATAGAGGGTAAATTCTGGCTTTTTCCTCAAAATAAATAGTTTATAAATATAAGCAATTCTTACAAAGGAGTTGTCATGTGTATCTGCTCAAATGGTTGTTTTTGCATCTGTGTGTGTATCTATATGTCTGTGGGTGTGAATCTGTGTGTCTGCAGGGAGTTTGTACTTTTGTGTATGGAAAAAAAAGAAGGTAGGGAAATGAGAAGAGCTTGAGGTTATGAATGAGGCAAATTCTGGATGTTTATAAATATGGGCAAATAGGAATTCATTTCTGATCGGTTATGCAGCAGAAAGAGCACATACTCCGAGCATGCCGAATCCTCAATCCGTTTGTAAATCATGGCCTTTTTAGAGTCTAGTCTAGCAAACCTTCATGTGCATTACTTTTGCCAATGAGATGAAACAATGTTTAGCGCTCTATCTAAGTACCTAATTCTCCTAGTTTACCCCTTTAGGAGTTTTGGTTTTCATAATTTTAATGGAGAGGTGCTGTTAGGCCATAACTTTTCAGTAGTATGTGTTCACAAAGCACACAAAAACCGGACACTTCCAGAACTGCACCCTATTCGTTGTGTCATTTAAACTCATGCTCTGGGTTCGCACTTACTTTGGCAATTGGGTTTCTCTTTGAGTTGTCTTCACCTTCCCGACAGGCTGCAGCGAACTTGATCCATTCTCGTTTCTGCCTTCTGATGGAATGCCACTTGATGGTACCATTTTTGGCGTTATGATCTCTTACCTTAAATAGGTAGAGTAAAATATAGTGTCTGTTAACTATTACTTATTACTGGTATTTCACTGGAGATTTTTGAGATTTTGGAGTAATTATGTCAGGAAGAGAAGATAGATGGTTAAGTGAAAAATTAAGAATTCTGACAATTTTAGCCTTTGCAACCATTACATTGCAGTGATTTTGTATTTAGAAGAATGAGGGTTTTCTTGAGGATACGTTCTCATGGCCAAGTCAACTCTCTTTTTGTCTGCTCCCTTTTTCCCTCTCTTTCTCTCTTCCTCTCTTCCTCTCTCCCCCTCCCTTTCCCCATTTTCCCCTTTCTTGCTTTTTATTTTCTTTTTGTTTATTATGTGATTTGAGACAGGGTTTCTTTATGTAATTCAGGCTGGCTTCTGGTCCACAGTCCTCATGCTTCAGCCTTGGAAGTGCTGGGATTACAGGCATGCATTACTGTGCCTGGCCCTTTTGTTTATTAATCTGGAAAAAAAATAAGTTTCTGTATCTTACCTGGATTTGAAATTCACTGTTAACTTCAAGCACCACCTGTAAAAAGCAGTCATAGTAGTTAACTTTAAACTAAGTGTTTTAAAGTTTATATTACTCAAATAAAAACTCAAATAAAATAAAAATAAAAGTAAACAATACATTTGTGGGGTAAATTAATGGCACTAAGTATTCCTTAGCTATTTCTCCTGATTAGCAAATTTCTCACTACATCAAAACATGTGCTATTGGGCAGAGTTCTGCTTAAGTTCCAGATTTGAGTGTTGCACATAACTTGTGGTGAAGTACCGGAATATATTAAACAATTTTTAATCTAAAGATTACAGATATTTTTAAAACACTGATATCAACATGCCAAAGTAATGTGTTTGTATATTTTAAGACATGGTAAAATGTATATTTAAAAATTAAACATTTTTTACATTCATTATATTGCACTGAAGGTCAGTTAATGTGAGCGTGCACTCTTAGGTTTTGCAAATATATTTTCAAATAAGAGGTGTTTAACTTCTAATTGAATTTTTCATAAGAGCAAACCTGAAATTTACATTCATAATCAGAGTTTAGCACTGATACCAAAAGCTATAGTGTACAATTAAAAATATGCATATTAAATATTTTTAAACATAGTGATTAGCTTTTTGTAGCTGGTTTTCAGTTTCATCCTTAAGGAAAATATGAATTTCAGTTTCTAAGAAAACGTTTTGAAAAACTGTCAAAATGGAAAAGTTAAACAAACAAACAAACAAACATGTATTTGTGGTCAACATGAGTAGCATGAAGAGAATTATTACCCATAATATTATGTCAGTCATAGTAATTATTACTATTACCATTAACTGGATGACAATTAAGTACAAGACAATGTGGCCAGTGAAATCTGCACATTTATTGTCATTACAAACACAGGTGGCCATTATACTATTATCTCCTTTATACAGGCCAAGAAACTGAGGCAGGGCTACTAACTTATTGCAAAATGCAATCTCATCCAGTTTAGTCTAAATATGTGTTTATTTTATAGTCAAGTATAAGACAGCTTATTTTCTCAAATAAATTATTAAGTAAAACATTACTAAGAATTGATATTACATCTTTGAGAACTAAAGGTGATTTAATCTCAAATTGAGCTTTTTGCTCTCTCTCTGTCTCTCTGTCTCTCTGTCTCTGTCTCTGTCTCTCTCTCTCTCTCTGTGTGTGTGTGTGTGTCCGTGTGTGTGCTTCATGTATGAATACATGTGTGTTTAGGTGAATGCCTATACACAAGTGCACAGAATGGAGACTGACAATGAGTGTCCTGCTCTAACGCTCTCAGCCGTATTCCCTTGAGACAGGGTTCCTCAATGAACCTGGAGTTAGGCTAGTAGCTAGCCCACACCAGCAATCCTCCTGTCCCTGTGTCCATGGCAGCAGGGTCATAGCTCTTGTGGCCATGCTCAGCTTTTTATGTGGATGCTGGGAATTCAATGTCAGGTCCTCATGGATGAGTACCAGCCCTATTCTTTCCCACCTGGCTGTCTCTTCAGTCCCATTGTTAATGCTTATATAGATATAACAGCAGCAGAAACAGTGGTACAGGGTCACAGTAGAAGCCACACTGCTTGTGAGCTAGGGTGTGTAACTGTGTCATTGAGTTGAGCTTGACTGCAGAACTCATTTACTCCAGTGAGTTCTTGCTGCCTGTGTTATTTTGGGCACTCTTCTCTTGCTTGTGCTTCTGAGTGCAATGGGGCTGCCTTATCTGTCTGCTTGGAAGTCAGTTCTTCATTGCTACAGCTGTTTAGTCATTGGCTATCTGTTATTGCACTTCTCTTCCCAGAGTGAAGTGCCTGTGCCTGCAACTTTGGGTAACTGGCCAGATGACTAAGAACTCTGCCCAGCTTTATGAAGCTAGGTCATCCTCTTTCCCATGAGAAGCAATTTCAGCAGAAGACCAAGGTTTCACCACAGTGTCAGACTCACAATAAGATGGGTAATTAAAAAACTGCCTAGTCTGCTTTTTAAAATGTGGTGTGAGCTGCTTCTTCTTCTTCTTCTTCTTCTTCTTCTTCTTCTTCTTCTTCTTCTTCTTCTTCTTC